GCTGGAAGACCTGCCAAGAGAGCATTGCAATAGTCCAGCCTGGACAGAACAAGAGCTTGAACAAGGAGTTGTATATACAGTATATATAAAGTGGGGAGCCAGTTTAAAGCGAGTACATGACAGTAATGTGTCCAACTTAAATATGTACATCAATTTCAGGATGTGGTGCATCCTTGGGAATAATCACTTTGGATCTAAAATAAACTGCTTTCAAAATATGGCTTTCCAAATAAAAAAAAGTGGTCTCTTGGCTTAACTTGCCCCCCAGTGCGGGGTAAATTGAGCTTACAAAAATCTCTTTGAAACTAAATGTAGTTACCAGTTATCCCATGGGCCTCTCTCCATCACAGGCTGAGTAAATGGCTAAATATTAATATATTTGTGCTCACATCAACAATTTTGTTGCCTAGTAACAACTTCCCCAAAGGCTCAGATCACCTCGCTCTCTCCTACTGACTTTCTGTATAGCGTCTGTTACATTTAAGCTGTATTTTTGTACGTTTGTAGCTTACTATTAACATTTTAATGAGGCCTAACTTTTGCTGAAGTCCTTAAAAACAAAACAAAATACACCTGTTATCATAAATATCGCAATCTTTATTTTACAGCTGCTTTTATAAAAAAATCAGAGCAATGTTACAATCAAACCAACAGTTTGTTGTGAGTCAGAAACGGGCGGTTTTTACATTGACTGAATGCGTATGTCGTGTGAGAAACAACAAAGATATCATCGGATGTTTCCATCTGCAAGATTTAATTAGTGCTAAAACTCGACACTACTCAGCAAGACTGAAATACTTCGATTCTTGGCATTTCTGAGTTTTAACGTCTGAACATTTCAGACAGAGCAAAGTAAAACAGAGTGAATCTCATCAAATCTGTCATATTTCAGCTTTAAATCAAAATAAATTATATTTAGAAGCGCATTTTAGGGCTATATTATTTCTATGACAAATAAGCCTAATTCTTAGTCACAAAAAATGGTCACTATTATTTAAATTGTGCAATTTTAAGCACATAATGGCAGCATTTATTGCACTTTTATACTGATTGTAATATTTAAAAAATGCATTTAAATTGTCGTTAAAATAATGCGCTTAAAATGGCTTTTATTGTACTTCTAAATATATTTTCTTATGTTTTTCTTTTCATTTTAGTGTGCAATGTGACATTATGAGATTCACCCAGCAGGCACAGCGCGAGACACGACAATCGAAATCAATGAAAACAACACAAATTTAATTCAGGGGCGAACCGATAAATGGAGTGCTTTCGATCGAAAACCGAACAAAGCATCCTTCAGAGAAACTGTAAACCAGCCGAGCATGAAACGGAGCGATGAGGGGAAAATACGGCCTGATTATTTCACAAAGACGGAGCTGAAACACAAACTACCGATGTACGTAAACAAGTGAACGGGAGAATCATTATTAGTAGCCACAAGATCATTGATCTGACTTCACTCGTTTAATCGTGAGAACGAGTCATTAAAACGATAATACAGACCCGACGGCCCCAATGCATCATGGGTACTTAGAGCGGGAAACATTTCCAATCTTCTTAAAATAACGACCTAAAGAAAAGTGACCTTTCGGGAGTTCGTTCATTCGTTAGTTTGTTCATTTACTCATTCGTTGGAAAAGAAGAAACTGTGTTAAAGAAACAGTTCAGCCAAAAACAAACAAACAAACAATTTTATGCCATCCCAGATTAGGATGAGTTTGCTCGGTCATCAGATTTGGAGAAATGTAGCATTGCATCAGTGTCTCAGCAATGGAAGTGAATGGGTGCCGTCAGAATAATAGCTGATAAAAACATCACAAGTAATCCACAGCACTCCAGTCCATCAGTTAACATCTGGAGAAGACAAAAGCTGAAAAAAATCCAGCATCAAGACGTTTTGAACTAAAATACATCGAGTCCATAATCCATAATAACACTTCCTCCAGTGAAAAAGTGTTCTGAATCAGGAGAGAAATCTGCACAGATCAAAACCGGTGTGTCACCCCACCCACTTCCAGAAACTAGGTCACAGGGTCAATTGAGAACATATACAATGATAAACTCAACATCACAACAACACAAATGCAAAAACCTACACTTCAAATCAACATTTAAAACAACAAAAAATATAAACTTTGACAATGCCTTAATATACATTTAAATCCACAACCAAATAAAAGTAAACAATTATGTATAAAACAACTAGGGAATTCACAAGCCTCTCCATGGAGTCCTATACAGGAATCTAGTGTTTACACCATGAAATTACAGGTTTGTCTTTTTTTGCTCTCACCAGGAGGTGCTATTCTGCCTTCAAAAATGGGATTTTAAAGGCCTAGTCTCTATTTTAATCTGAAATACTGCATTAATTGAAAAATAATTGTAAAAAATTTGCATTATTATTTTTTTTACTATTTCCAATGGGAAAAATGTATCATAATTATTGCATAAATATTAATTAGTACCATGAAATTCTCTCAAAATACAAAAAATATTATTGAACAAAAATATATTACACTGATTTTACTGAAGAAAAAAAAAAGTTACATTTCAGGTGTCCGGTCACTTTTGACCGCGAAGACCATGAGTGTGACTCCCAAATGAGGAGCGTACAAGGGTTTTAAAAGTTTTGTTTACAAATCAGTTGTTACTTTGAATCTTTAATAGTGTCGTAGTAGCGTAACTGAAAGGTTTCCCTCTACTGTTTACAGAGAGATTTTATTTCCCGATGTAGAGCAGCTGATATATAAATCCAAATTAATTGAGAACCGAATCGAATCGTGTCTGAACTGTTTTGTGGAGGTCCGGCGGTGGCGAGTAACCTTCACTCGGAGTCAGACTACAAGAACAAGGACTGGGTCTTCATCAACTACACCTACAAGCGCTTCGAGGGCCTCACAGCCAGAGGAGCCATCCCCGCCTACATGAAGAGCGGCAAGCCATAGAGAAAAATCCCCAAAACACCACGGAAGAGACCCGCTCCGTGTGCACCAACACTGCAGCGTTTTCTCTTTTCACTCACGCTTGAAGAACATCTTCTGAAAAGCTTTTGTGGGCAAGTTTCAGCAGATCTAATACCAAAAGACCTACACGTCTCTATAAACAACGATAGCTCTTCTGAAGATGTTTAAAGGGTCGTGAGACCCCATTTTAGCAGAGGTGTGCTTGTGTTGCACATCATAGAAGACAATGTTAGCATCCGATATTTTTAACTGTTTGAGAAACCTGCAAACCACGGGTTGTAAACCTTTCAATTCAATAGTAGTGTCACGTAAAATACTCTATTTCTCATTTAGCATGCAGTGCATCATTTTATATTGATATTTAACCGTGAGCCGTTTTTGTAATGTGTGTTTATATCCTTGTTATCTTCTGTTCATTTCCAGAAGTGCATTTTAAAGTTTATAAATATATGCAATAAAAATGTTACATGATTTTTAATTTTGTAAACTTTTTTGGAGTACATTAACAAAGATACAAAACTAGTTATTAAGGTCTGTCACTATACCAGACAACATATTTTTTTTTAATAATTAAAATGTTTTAATGTTTTTGAAAATCAAACAGCAAATCAGAATATTAGAATGATTTCTGAAGATCATGTGACACTGAAGACTGGAGTAATGATGCTGAAAATACAGCTGCGCATCACAGAAATAAATTACAGTTTAACAGATATTCACATAGAAACAGCTGTTTTACATTATAATAATATTTCACTATTTTTACTGGTTTTATTATATTTTTGATAAAATAAATGCAGCCTGGGTGAGCAGAAGAACAACACACACACACACACACACACACACACACACACAAATCTAAAATATTCCAAACTTTTGCAGATGCTTTTATTCAAAACTACTTACAAATGATAACAACAAAAAAACAAGAAAATCCTTTATAAGTGATATTTACACTGTTTTACTCTATCTTCTACACATCATCTCCTTGACACTAGATGGCGCCAACAGACAGAAAATCCTCACTAAAATGAGTTCTAAAGTAATGAAATAAATTACAGTTTAACAGATATTCACATAGAAACAGCTGTTTTACATTATAATAATATTTCACTATTTTTACTGGTTTTATTATATTTTTGATAAAATAAATGCAGCCTGGGTGAGCAGAAGAACAACACACACACACACACACACACACAAATCTAAAATATTCCAAACTTTTGCAGATGCTTTTATTCAAACCTACTTACAAATGATAACAACAAAAAACAGTGATATTTACACTATTTTACTCTATCTTCTACACATCATCTCCTTGACACTAGATGGCGCCAACAGACAGAAAATCCTCACTAAAATTAGTTCTAAAGTAATGCATGATATCTTTAATCATCTAAAGCCCTTAACAAGTGATTAATTAAGTTATTGATTAAGCAAATATTGTTTATCCAAAGCTAGGTGCAGTGCAGTAATGGCAAAATCTTGCTCAAGGACACAACGGTGAAAAGATCTCAAGTACTTTTAAGTTCAAAGGTCATCTATCCATGAGACTGAACCAGCGGCCCGGATTAAATGAGTCAAATGTGTATATGAATATGAAATGAGTGGCTGAATATTAATGAGCGAATAATTATATCCTCATGATTATGAATGAGTTGAATGATTGTCCAGTGTTCCAAATCCAACAGTTTAATCCATCAGTCATTGGTCGAGACTGGGAGGGGCGGGGCCATTCAGCCGATCTAACTCGTCGACCTGCGGGGTGGGCGTGGCCCCGGCCCGCGTAGGCCCCTCCCCCATGGCGGTGATGAGGTTCGGGACACTCCTGCTGCGGACACACTGGAAGTCCACGTGTCTGCTCTTCCCTTCCTCTTTCTCCCAGGACAGCTGGATGAAGGGACGCTGGACGTAGCTGTAGATGACCTCGGACTTGCCACCTGGACGTCGCTTCACCTTCTCCTTACAGGTGGGGTATCCTGAGACGCACAATAGAGTCAGGTTGGGCTCTGGAATTAAAACATCATATATTTTGTCCGTTCTAAGGATAACTTAAACCTTTAAAGTGTTGCTTGTTAATCAACATGCTTTTGTTTTAGCCATCAGTCAGCAATCATGCCTCGTTCTCCCAGGACAGCTGGATGAAGGGACGCTGGACGTAGCTGTAGATGACCTGGGACTTGCCACCTGGACGCCGCTTCACCTTCTCCTTACAGGTGGGGTATCCTGAGACGCACAATAGAGTCAGGTTGGGCTCTGGAATTAAAACATCATATATTTTGTCCGTTCTAAGGATAACTTAAACCTTTAAAGTGTTGCTTGTTAATCAACATGCTTTTGTTTTAGCCATCAGTCAGCAATCATGCTTAACAGTGGAATTTGTGGCATTACCCATAATGCAGTGCAGAAAATTCCACCAATTAGAGAGTTGGGGCAGCAAATTGCGTCAAAAAAAGCTCATTAGCTCCGCCCACTCCTTTGAAGCCCCTTTGCAACCCTACTCAAATACATATATGTATGCAAATTTTGCATTAAACTTAAAATATATTGTTTTTCTAGATGTAATCAACAACTTTAAATGAATAGTTTCATATTTCTCCATCATTTTTAATTCGATTATAACGTTTGCAATGCTTCACGTGATTGTATTTATTTTCCCTCATTAGGTTCACAGCCTTGTACCTTTGTTTTGTCCAATTTTCAAATATTTTTCTGCTTCAAATAAAAGTTTGTAATGTTGTTATTCTCTCCCTAGCCTTTTGGTTTGGTTCACGCTGCGAGTTTTCCTCTCCCATCGGAGGAGGGTTGTCGTGATCCCAGTCTACGTTATCGTCGTCCGTGAGGACCATGATGTGGCACTCTCGTTCTCCTTCCCGAGCGCTCGCAACCATTGCCGGGACCAACAGCTTCAGTTGCTTTGACACAATCTGTATTGTTAAAAGCGCTATATAAATAAAGGTGACTTGACTTGACTCATCCTAATCTCGTATGGCTTGAAGGTGAATGTTAATTTTTGGCTGAACTATTCCTTTAAATTACTGTGTTCAGAACCTCCCAAGCACGGTATCCGGGTAAATTGTGAATACTGCAGGATCCACCACAAAATGAGTCCCGTCAACTACTAATGTGACCTGGTCATGTGATAAAGGGCGTGGTTGTGTAGGCCACGCCTCCTTTGTGCAGGAGAGCACCTGATTGGACGGAAACAGTAATGAGTTTGAGTGTGCGTGAGTTATTTTTGGCGCATGTACAGTACGTGTGTTTTTGACTCACTGAGGTCTCGGCATCTGACGGTGCTGTAGTCGAAGTTTATACACAGATAATCGCACGCTTCGCGCAGTTCCACCAAAGACACGCCCTCTGGACAGTGCAGCATGCCGACACGGTAATAATCCTGGGCGAGAGATGACGTTGCGTTAAAATTGCGTAGAATCAAACCGGCAGTGAACTGGAGGGAATTTGTGATCATACGTACCAGTATGACTCTGAAGATGTTGGCACCGATGCCTTCTGCGATTTCATATTCACCTTTAGCGTTTGGTCGTGTAAAACTGTGCTGACACGCTCGACCGAACATTCTGAGAAAACACACCTCATTAGGTTACACAATACATTTGGGATATTTTGCACGATTTAAAGGAACAGTTCACCCAAAAATAAAGATTGGCTGAAAATGTGCTCAGCCTCAGGCCATCCGAGATTAGGATGAGTTTGTTTCTTCATCAGGTTTGGAGAAATGTAGCATTGCATCAGTGTCTC